TCCATTTTTATTCTCAGTTGAAATTATATTCTGAATGGACCTTGAAAAATATTTATTTATATACAAATTATTTTTGTTCTTACTTTGAGAGCGGGTGGATCGATTTGTTTTTTTTTTTTTTTTTTTTTTTTTTTTAACGTTCGTAATAGCCTAATTAAGTTAAGATTTTATAATAAAGAAATACAGTAGGCCTGATTTTGAGGTTAACCTGTGTCTAAAATTAAAAATTGACATTACAGCAAAATATTTATTTCAAATTTTCTGTTAGATTTACGTCAAAATTATTGTAAATTTAGTTTATGGTAGTCCATAAAATGGTAATTTCGCGAAACCATAAAATTTACATAATAAGTTTCGAGAAATGGCGCATCGTAATCGACCAAGGTTTTTTTATCATCATTAAGAGAGTTGGACAGTTAAAGAATCTGTTATAATATTATCAAAATATCTCCGTAATATTATAAGCTTGTTAATTATAATGCACATTATTGATATAAAAAAAAAATTTGCTCTAACAATAATTTATAAGTGAAAGAAATTTGAAAATCAACTCGTTTTAATATTTCCATAGACTATAATCCTTTCCTCGTCAACAAACAAGTTTTACCTTCAACGGTTTACAGCAAGAATGGCGGGAAATGTTAGCAAACAACAAACCCATTACACCAAAGGAATTGCAAACCAAAGATCGAAATTATAATAAATTCCATTTTCATTATGGCCGCGTCTTTGCTTCCGTCTTCCTACACCGCCCCTTACTTACGCTTCGGCCGCAAACGTTCTAAATTCAAAAGTAATAAGCGGTTATCCCGATCCCGTTTGTAACTATCGACTACGACATTCCACATCATTATAATAACGTACATTTCAAACGAATACCAATCTAACGCTGTTTAAAATACGGTTTACATTTGATTGTGCGCATTATTAATTTTACGCTTGTGTGCGTGTGGCGTTATTTAAATGTCTACACGTGTAATAATTGTCGAGTTCCCGGTTTTATAATGATGTAGCGCGTATGTGTGGGTTTAGTGATGGGATTAGATGTATGCCGTATCCGTACAACGGATATTATGTTGTTAATCCCCGTGCAGGTAACGTGTAATTGGTTTGATGATATATATATATATATATATATATATATATATATATATATATATATATATATATATATATATATATATATATATATATATATATATATATATATATATATATATATATATACATACCTACTCTTGTAGTTTCTATCGTTCTAACATTTTTGGTATACATTTTAGATTTTATATTTATGTATTTATTTTTTAATTTAAGATTTGTAATATGCGAAATATTAACGTGTCATTGATGTAAATAGCAGAATGTAGTAGTAAATATATATGTATTTGTAATATATTATATTATGTTAATATGATTCGTTTCATATCTTAACAGTAGGTCTACCATAAAATATTCCGAATTTTTAGACTCAATTTCATATTTTCGTTCCTACCGAAATCGGCATAGTATATAGTAAATGGAACTTAACATTTCGTTCGTCATAAATCTTCCCATAGATGTCCAAAGTAACTATATTTTAATATTTTGAAATGATATTTATTATTTATTTATTTATACTTTTGCACACATTTAAATATGTTTACAGAGCGGACTTAATGCCTGATGACATTCTCTACTGTGTAATTCACTATTACGTAATTTTAATATCAAATATGTATTTCGTTCGGTACCGATATTTCGGTAAACATTTCATGGTAGGCCCTCTGGTTTATCTTTTATATCCATTGAACCGTCCCATCCCTAGCCGAACGTCTGTCGCATGTCCAATTATGTTGGTATTTTTTTATATTATAATTTTACGTTACCAAGAAAGTTGATAACACAAATTATACTTATACACATTTCTTAGAAGACTACCAGATTATTATATCTTATATATATAAAATTTCTAATAACCATTATTAAATCAGTATTGATCTAATTTTGTTTAAATTATATTGGATATAGATGTATAAGCTTAACGTACGTACATACATACATATCTGTCACGCCTGTCTCCCATTAGGGTAGGCAGAAACAATGGAACGACAAATGCTTCGATTCAAACAAACCTCTTTCGCTTCTTACACATTCATCGATCTTTTCGTACACGCTCGCAGGTTACGGGTAGACTTTGTACGAAAGTCGATTGCTTGAGTACCTCTGTCCCATTCGTGTTTCAACCGTGAAGCAGTTTTGTTTGCATGGCTGTTTCGGTTTGAAGGGTGGGATATAGCGTGAATTTACTGGGTACAGAGGAATAACACCTGAGTCCTCAGGAATGGCAACGCATGGGGGGTATCATGGGCGAAACAGTATACTGAGTTATGTCCATGGCGCTGCTCATGTCTATAGGCGATGGTTACCACTTTCCATCTGGTAGGCCGTCTGCTTGTCTGCCGTTCTAAGTTGTAAAAAAAAATGTTTAAAATTAGTAGGTAGTCCCACTTGTGCTTGGTATACACTGGCAGGGTCCAAATTTTTTTAGAAATCAAAATTGATCCTCGTCTTTGCTATCGGTATACGCTGGTGGGATACCAATTAGGGATAATAGGTGAGGATGAATGTGTGTGGATGTCAATCTGAAATAAATACTAAAGACAAACAGACTTCAGTTGTGGCAAAACCATTTATTTGAATTTAAAAACTAAATTACTGAACCGATTTTGATGAAAATTTTATGGGAGCAATCTGCAAATATATCCTTACAGATAAAAAAAGAATATTCCTAATCGGCTTACAACTGACGGAGTTATGAGGTAACAAACATAAAAAAATACAGCCGAATTGAGAAATTCCCTCTTTTTAAAGTCGGTTAATGAGAAATAATAATACAGCCATGTCAGCATAGCTACTTAGCGGCAGACACACATATGGGACTGATGCATTCAAGAAAACAGGTTTTGTACAAAATCTCCCCCTAATAAATTTAAAACATAACCCTACTTAACCCGACGCAGTCGGTAATGCTTGCAGCCATAAACAACCGCCACTTATTAATTTTCACGCTCTAGTCTCGCACATGTAGTGTCTCTCCATCTACTTTCGTACAGTGTGCACCAAACTTTATGTGGTGTTTGTGATAAGCGGAGGCGGAAGCGTGAGCGGAGACGTATAAATGTTGAATTCTTAAAAGTACTTTATTTTTATTTTATCGCTTGTCTATTTTCTCTTTTCATTTAAGACTTTCCCCTTGTCGGTGCAACTAATTCATGCATCTTCCTCCAGCCAGCTCTATCCCAGGCCATATCCTTTATACGACATGACGCCTAGTGTTTCCTTTATCTGCCCTATGTCTATTTTATAATACTTAAAATCGTGAACCAGCTGACGGCCCACCTGATGCAATGTGGTAACCGTCATATATATATATATATATATATATATATATATATATATATATATATATATATATATATATATATATATATATATATATATATATATATATATATATATATATATATATATATATATATATATATATAAACAGGACAGGATGCAATGAAATACTTATGGTACCCCTTATACATTGCCATTCCTAAAGATTATAGTGTTATACTTCCGTACCCTGTAATTTTAATGTCCTTTCCTACCCTTCAAACTTTACAGACAAACTCAATTGCTTCACGGCAGAAATGGAAGACAGAGACAACCATCCAGTCTGTGGAAACGAAGTAAATAAACTACTTGATTTTTTTATACAACTTAGAACGGCAAACAAGCTGACGGCCCACCTGATGGAAAGTTGTAACCATCGCCTATAGACATGAGCAGTATTATGGACATAATAGAGTATACTGTTTCGCCCGTGATACCCCCCATGCGTTGTCATTCCTAAGGACTCAGGTGTTATTTCTCTGTACCCTGTAAATTCACGCCATATCCCATCCTTCAAACTGAAACACAGCCATGCAAACACAACTGCTTCACGGTAGAAACACGAATGGGACAGAGGTACCCAAGCAATCGACTTTTGTACAAAGTCTCCCTTTGGTAAACTGTTTTTATTCGAATCAGTTATTCGATTCTCTACACTTTCATTAAGTTTTGTTAAAACAAACTATAGTATCAATATAAATCGCTGTCTCCTCCGCTTCCCGCTACCGCTCATCACCGAATCCACACCAGCGGGTGCGTTCACCTCGCAAACTGTCTCCTTGTAAGTATACCCACTTGACGCCCACTCCTCTCTTCAGCTATCGTATTAGTTGATGAGGGTTCTTTGTCTCATTTTTAGGGTCCCCTCAGCTAATACAAGAACGTCGAGCCGTGGTTCTGGTTACAGTGATACTCTTCATTGCTCCTTTATATATCAGGAATTCGATCCGATATGTTTATTTGATATAAATATATTTGGATCTATTAATACTAAATATTAAAGTTGTGAACATGTAAGTGAGTTTGTCTTTTTATTGTCATGAAATCTCTCGTTGGATGACTCAATTGACAGGCGATATGTTAGTAGACAGTTCGGATGAGATTTCGACAGAAAGACTCCTTGACTTCAGTTGTATGTAAGTGTTCTGGAATCGATCTGTAAATACCTTAGGTGTATATTTTAACATCAGAGTTAACAATTGTTACTAACCTTTAAACAGTATAAAACATAGTTATCTGAATTCCTTTCTTCCTGTGGGTAACGTAAGAAGTAACCAAGGAAACTTGGTCACTTCTTACGACACCCACAGGAAAGCTGTTGCCCATCCCTTCGGGATAGGCAGCAGCGTCCCTCTTAAAACATCACTAAAGCATAACTGCGGTTGCCACTCCACCTGCCAAACGTGGCAACTACTGGCAACACCTCCCAAGGGGGAGGTTTATGTTCAGCCGTGGACAGTTAAAAGCTGATATGATATGATATGATGCAGTAGTCGGGTAGGTTACATTCTAATTTAGCAAGCGAAGCTACAGGAAACTGTTAGTAAAGAGTGAATAAATATTGTATAATTTTGTTTCAGTACTGGTGTGCGTAGCTGGTTTCCAGCAGCAGTACTTCAGGGTGGTACCTCGCAGTCTGCGAGTGCAGGAGGGGAGTGAGGCGGTGCTGGAGTGCGCTGTGGCCAACCTGGCTGGCCAGGTGCAGTGGGCAAAGGACGGATTTGCACTTGGTAAGTTGTAAACAAACGAACACACTTTAATTTACCATCAGGTGAGCCGCATGCTCGTTTGCCCCTTGTGTTATAAAAAAAACTGCCCCGACCAAAATACAGTTTAGTGATGTTCAATAGCAGTACAGCTCTTTTTATGCAACTTAGAATGGCAAACAAGCTGACGGCCCACCTGATGGAAAGTGTTAACCGTCGCCTATAGACATGAGCAGTACCATGCACATAACAGAGTATACTGTTTCGCCCATGATACCTCCCCATGCGTTGTTATTCCTGAGGACTCAGGTGTTATCCCTCTGTACCCTGTAAATTCACTGCCATATCCCACCCTTCAAACTGAAACACAGTCATGCAAATACAACTGCTTCACGGTAGAAACACGAATGGGACAGAGGTGATCAAGCAAACGACTTTTGTACAAAGGCTCCCTCTGGTAATAAGTTCAAAGGAACGTCCGAATCGGTCCCACTATGTAATTGAGTAACCAATTAACATGTAACGAAATAATGTTATTAAATTTACTAACAACATGGAACATAAACCGGTGTTCAGTTTAGATGATCTATTAAATAGATGTTTAGACAAATATAGCATTGACACACGCTGCCTGAATAGGCCAATTGCCAATCGATTGCTAGGTGACGGCTCATACCCGACCTCACTATTGTGGTGTATTTTATAAGAGGTAGCGTTAATTAATGCAATTAATACTTCTTATATCAATAATATTCTATACCGTGCAGTCAAGGCACAGAATGGGCCTCCCCTTTCTTTCCCATTGGTGTCGTAAGAGGCGATTAAGGAAACTTAATGATAGAGGGATGGACAGAAGCGTCCCTCTTAAAATAACACCAAAGCCAACACCCTTCCATGCGAGGCAACTACTGGTAAAATCTCCTCTTATGGATGCTGTTGATTTCAGATATTATAATAAAATAAATAAATTAATAAAAGTGCGGAATTACAGGATACAAAAATATAACACGACCTCGGCAATGGCAACGTATGAGAAGCGTCATAGTGTATTTTCTAAAATCCCACGAATGCTCAGGCTATGGAATGAGCTCCCAGTCGAGGTTTTCCCAAGTATATAGAAAATTTGCCAGAATGGATTCAGTAGTTTATTTTTAAATCAAAGTAACCAGTTTTGCCACAATTGAAGTCGGTTTTTTTACGGAACATAATTATTTGACTCTATTCATTACAAAGGAAAATTAAAATCTTATCATCTTCTTTCATTCTCTCATGTTGTATGAATGCTATTAAGTGTGTGTATGTTTATGTATATTTGTTTATATGTGTATATATATGTATGTATATATATTATTGTTTTAGTATCTGTATTACTTATTATTGCTCCACCTACCCTTTGTCCTTTTTTCTCAATATCCTCTACCCAAAGGTTGTCTGAAAGAGATTGCTTAGTGATAAGACCGCTTATTGAATTGATTTCTTATTAAAATTAACTGTATTAATTATTTTTATAAATGTCGCAATAAAGTGTAAATAAATAAATGAAATCTCTCCTCATTATACTATTAGTTTATATTGAGATCATATATCGCTAAAGCTTATTACTTGGACCACCAGTTCAGTCTACACAATAACACAATGTTGGTATCCGTAAGCACAAATCCTATGAACCGTGGCATTTATTGCTGCCTTTCTATATTCTATTTCTATTGTAAATATATACCTATAAAGGTCACAGTTTACCCACATTGTACATCAAACGTTAACTGTCCACTGCTGAACATAGGCCTCTCCCATAAGGGGGTTTTGCCAGTAGCTTTTTATACAACTTAGAATGGCAAACAAGCTGACGGCCCACTTGATGGAAAGTGGTAACCGTCGCCTATAGACATGAGCAGTACCATGAACATAACAAACTATACTGTTTCGCCCATGATACCTCCCTTACGTTGCCATTTCTGAGGACTCAGGTGTTATTCCTCTGTACCCAGTAAAATCACGCCATATCCCACCTTTCAAACCGAAACACAGCCATGCAAACACAACTGCTTCACGGTTGAAACACGAATGGGATAGAGGTACCCAAGCAATCGACTTTTGTACAAAGTCTCCCTCTGGTAAATTTATCGACAAGTAAACCTGCAGGAAATAGCTAGTCATTTCTAAACACCCGTCTTTACTAGTCGACTTCATTGCTTTGTTTACGTCTAAATTTTATTACATTCATGTATGGTAAATCTAGATCAAGAAAAAATCTTATAACCAATTCAATAATTGAAATCAAATTATTTTTATGTCTAAAAAAATCGATTGCACAATCGACTATAATCGAAATTTCAATCAGACACCGAGATATTGCACAAAATAATTTAGTCGCGGTAATCGAGCGAGATGATATCGAATAATTGTTTTTAAATAGGAATGCCACGAAATCGTCGATGAACATTTATAGCGATAAATGGTAATTAATCGGTTGACGGGAGTCGATCCACGCGATGTAAGGCGTCGTTTACACTGTTGCGTAAATCGCATCTAGTTTTGTGATGGGAATGTTTGTGAATGTGAAATAAGTGTTAATATATGACTATCAGAGGAATAAACTTTATTAATTACCATAATAACTATTACAAAATTAGAAAAGATATCGTATTGTGTATATACACACTCACATACGTACACATTTACACACAAACAAGTGAATTATAATATCTTTTCTATGTAGATATTACATATTTATTTGTATTTATGTTACTGTATTTCACTTGAATTATTCACTTGTAATTGTATATTTTTATTTATGGTGCAATAAAGAGTTAAATAAATAAATAAATATTTACCTGTGAAAGCTTTTGCATTTAAAAATATATATAATGTAATAAGTACCGATTATGTATTTAAAAATAATGATAAACAACGCGAAAGTTTAAAATGAACTAGGTAACATGTTTAAAGCAAAATTTTTGGAAAATTCATCATCGTTGCCTTGTTTTTTTCTCATTTTTTGGGATTGGCGCAATATGTCATTCTCTTCCACGAATCCCTGTCAACTCGCAATTTCGGGCTCACGCCTCTTTTATTTATATCATCTTTCACACAATCCATTATTTAATTTAAATCATTAAATTATTTGTGTTAAGACCAAATAAACCATACTATTATTGTGTAACCCCGGCATAGAATAGGCCACACCTTCCTTTCTCGTGGGTGTCGTAAGAGGCGGCTAAAAAAAGGCGAGAAATGAGCAGCAGCGTCCCTCTTAAAACATCTCTCTAAAGCCTAACTGCGTTTGCCAATCCGTCTGCTATGTGTGGCAACTACTAGGAACACTCTGGACCCCCAAGGGGGGAGGCTTATGACCAGAGGGAGACTTTTTACAAAAGTCGATTGCTTGGGTACCTCTGTCCCATTCGTGTTTCAACCGTGAAGCGTTTGTGTTTGCATGACTGTGTTTCGGTTTGAAGGGTGGAATGGCGTGAATTTACTGAGTACAGAGGAATAACACCTGAGTCCTCAGGAATGGCAATGCATGGGGAGTATCATGGCCGAAACAGTATACTCTGTTATGTCCATGGCCATGGCATAGGCTCATGTTTATAGGCGACGGTTACCACTTTCCATCAGGTGGGCCATCAGCTTGTTTGCCATTCTAAGTTGTAAAAAAAAAAGGCAGTTGACAATTAAAGGCTGATATGATGACGGTGATGAATATTTGACATTAAAATTTAAACATTTACGTATTTTTGCCCATTTGCCTTATCCACTTATTAGTTAGTATTAACTGAATAACTAGTTAAAGATAATGACATGTTAGTAGGCGTGGGATCACCCACGGTATTGGTATTAATCAGTACCGTCGATATATCTATATACTGTATCTATATACTAAGTTCTTATGCATACTAATCGGAAAAAAGGTCATCACCTATTTCGATATCTATATCAGTCGGATATTTATAGTTTTTTTTTAGAGATTTTCATTTCGATATTATATATTCGATAACCCGTATCTAATATATCTTTAATGAATCTATAATATATATTTTTTTTGCACATATAAAAACCGATCGATCTCGTAATTACGCAAATGTTAAAACTACTTATGGCTCAACATACATGTAATTTGACTATATATTGATTGAATGAGGTTGTATATTTTCCTAAAATAAATAAATAATATATCATCATCATCATCATCACCATTTCAACCATTATCCGTATACTACTGCTCATACGAGGTCTGTCCGGAAAGTTCGTATAAAAGTGTTCTGGAATGCGAGAAAGAGGAGTGGGGAGGCCAGGTAAGCGCAGGACCCCTTCCTTATGTCCCTAACAATGCTTCAGTTCTGGTCTGACCGCCGTGCGGTGCGAACTGGCTTGTCACGCCATCTGTGAAGTTACCTCTTAACGAAACCCCGTCGGCATGGAGCCCGCTTCCGTTGAAGAGCAGCGCGTCGTAATCAAGTTTCTCTCGAAACTCGGCAAGAATGGCCGTGAAATTTTTGCCGATCTCAGAACAGTTTATGGGGATGATGCTGTGAAGGAACCAACCGTCCACAAGTGGCTAAAAAGATTCAGAGAGGGCCGAGAAAGCGTTCAAGACAATGTTGATTGTTTTTTTCGATGTTCGGGGGATTGTCCATCAAGAATTCGTCCCTCCAGGCCAGACAGTTGATGGAAAATTCTACGTCGATGTGCTCAGACGCCTCAAAGCTCGTGTGGCACGAGTTCGTCCAGAATTGGCGCGAGAGGGGCGTTGGATTCTTCACCACGACAATGCCCCTGCCCACACCTCTCTTGTTGTCCGTGAGTTTTTGAGTAAAAATTCCATTACGGTGACCGAACACCCCCCTATTCGCCGGATTTGGCCCCGTGTGACTTCTTCTTGTTCCCAAAAACCAAATTGGTACTTCGGGGGCGGCATTTGGGGGACATAAATGAGATAAAAAAAGCTACGACGGGGCAGCTGAGAAACCTACAACCAGAGGACTTTCAAGGAGCCTTCTCACAGTGGAAACGGCGTTGGCACAAGTGCATTATGTCACAGGGGGAGTACTTTGAAGGGGATAAAATTGATTTACCTGAATAATTGTAAAATAAAATTTTTAAAAAACTTTTATACGTACTTTCCGGACAAACCTCGTAAGCCTCCCCCATACACTGCCATAAAGAACGGTCCTGAGCCACCTGCATCCACTGACTCCCTGCAATGCATTTCAAGTCGTCACTCCATCTAGTGGGAAATCCTACACTACGTTTACGCGTACGCGGTCGTCACTCAAAAACCTTTCTTCCCCATCGGTTGTTTATTACCCACCCATTTAGTTACTACAATTTTACTCATTATAACTGTTATTGCAGGCTTCTCCTCCGTAATCCCCGGCTACCCCCGCTACACGATGTTCGGCGACCGGCGACACGGCGTCTACAATCTGCGCATTGTGAACGTGACCTTAGAGGATGACGCCGAGTATCAGTGCCAAGTGGGGCCTGCACAGATGCACAAAGTCATACGTGCGAACGCGTCTTTGTCTGTTATATGTAAGTATTTTTTTTTATATTTTATCACAGCAATATGTCTTTTTATATATTAAATTGTTCTATGGCCTTTAAAATGTTTTATATGATATTATGTTGTATTAAAGTCCCACTGGTGGACATGGATCTCTCTTAATGAAGGATTACTCAGTGCCAAGGGCCAAGCGGCTTGGTATAGTTTGTAAATAAATAAATACTTTTCATTTTTATATAAAAATATAACAATATCGTACACAATAAATTAATTTTTAATAATAAATATCAAATTAATTATATAAATACTATTTAATAACAATGAATATATAAGTATATCTTATTTTATTATAAATTAGTAAATAAAAAAATAAAATATTTATTAGGCTATAAAATTGTCGCTTTTGCCTTAGGTCACCTTAACCCTTCGAGAGTTGCAGTCTCAAAGTTGTTCTAATCTGTTGCTAACTTCAACCCGGTTTATTACGTCGAGCTGCCAATAGATGGCGCTAAATGGATTCTGTCTTTTATTGCGAAGTTTACTATCAACTGCACTAGTGTAGTGTGCGTTCTCTTAGTCGCCTCGAACGATAAAAAGGAATGGTGGTGTTATATCCTTCCTTGATTGTCACAGAGTATAATATTAGAAGTAAAGTAACAAAGTTAACTTCTGTATATACATGACGCAAAAGTATAAGTATAAATATTATATATACTATATACTTATAGAGGGAGACAGGTGTGACAGATATGTATGTTTGTATACTTATAATCGCCGTGTGGTCCCGGCATAGAATGGGCCACCTCTTGCTTTTCCATATGTCATAAGAGGCGACTAAAATAACTTAATGCTGGATAGCAGAATCTCTTTTTAAACATCAACAAAGTCTAACTGTTATTACCAATACGCCTGTTAAGCGTGGTTACTGCTGGCAAAAGACACCAACAGGGAAAAGCCTATGTTCAACAGTGGACATGTTAACGGTTGATATGATGATATGCTGTATAAAAATGTATAAGCTATATTCCTTATTTTAAATCATATGCAATGCACCAACGAGCAATGATATATTTCATAGACATATATAAATAAAAAATCATTTCGAATAGGCGACAAAAACTTATAAAAATGACTATTCAAATATAACTTAAAATTGACTTTTACTGGAATTGTAAATATGCTTTTTATATATATATATTTGAATTTCGAACATGAAATTGTATTACTTACTCAATCATCGGAAATAGCTTTTTTTTTCTTTTTTTTTTATACAACTTAGAATGGCAAACAAGCTGACGGCCCACCTGATGGAAAGTGGTAGCCGTCGCCTATAGACATGAGCAGTACCACGGACATAACAGAGTATACTGTTTCGCCCATGATACCCCATTACCTATTCGAGTTAACGAGATATCGTTCCAATCCATATTTAATCGATATTTTAGAAGTTACCTAAAACGTAATAGGTGTCAGCGAAACTTGAATTGGCAACCTTTAAAATCGGTAGTAACTCACAAGGGCTCGTCACGATCCGATATATTGAAACTTCAATATAGGGTTGCCACATAAAATTCTAATATCACGCACCGAGCTATTGTTCGACACCACTTTCTTTTTATTATTTCAATAAAAGACATGTGAATATATATATTTTTTTTATAATTCCACCAACTAGACCATGCATACAGGGTCCAAAAAAATATATCGCTACCCAACAATTGCTTATTGGAAACGGAACTGGCGAATTTGAATAAAAGGTCCTCGTAAAATAGTCGCTGTCCTATTACAGTGACGGGTTAAAGTGATGGGACGTGTAGGGATATCGATGATATGATACTATTTCAAATTTTATCGATATCCTAACAGAGGTTCCAGCATAAATACATGTCGATGAATGATATAGATTGTTCTTTATTTGAATACAACGCGTTCCATTTTACGTAACTGTATATTACCTTTTTTTTTTTATCTAAAACTCTGTAATAATATTTTAAACGGGAAAGTTTAGTGGGTATAGAGAGGTTTATTACCCAATTGCATTTAAACTGCATAATTATATTTTTTTATGGATGAAAATGCAATGGTAACCCCGCCTAAGCTATCAGCAAATACTGGCCAGTGAGAAATGATAGGGATGAATATAGGTCAGTTGGCCTATTGTGACAAATTAAACAAGAATTAACTACGATGGTTTGCAGGGGGAACAACGAGGTGGTAATGGGATTTAAAAGTGTATCGCTAGCAATAGAGCTTTTAAATCCCATTATTAACAATCCCTTTCCCTTGCTTAATTATATTCAGTACAGAGATGGATTATAGTCTACTTAAAATTTTTTTTGATTGTGTTTTTTAACATTATTTATATCCACCCGTGACTTCGGTCGCGTGACTACGTAATATGGGCTGAGATATAAAAACTTACGTCTTCTCCATTCTAATTAGTACACATATACCCAATTACATGATTAGTCGAGCCATTACGGTGCTAAGAGATAACAGATGTACAAATAGACAGACAATTTCACATTTTTGATATTTCTAACAATATGCTGTAGCTTTGTATATGTGAATCATTGTATAAAGTATATATTTTAAATAAAAGACTTGGAGTAATTTGGACACACCATACACGGATGAAATACATTCTTTATTTTTTGTATATAAGAGTAAGAAATAAGCACGGGTAATATCGGTACCACCTCGATATCTATACATTGGGTTTCACTGGACATAACTGGTGGAAAAAAGGTCATTACCTATTTTAATGTTGCGCATACCAGTCGGATATCTATATTAACTGCGATCGAATTCCTTATTACAATATTATATGTTGGATAAATGTTATTATGTCCGTGGTACTGCTCGTGTCTATAGGCGACGGTTACCACTTTCCATCAGGTGGGCCGTCAGCTTGTTTGCCATTCTAAGTCGTATAAAAAAATTATATATATCCGTTCCTGGGTCAATATATAAATATTATAACTACAATATATATTATAATAAATAGTAAAAGGACTAATTGTGCTGTTCTGTATAAATTATGAGAAAACATTGAAAAAATTGTTTTTACTTTAGATATATTGTATTTAAATACTCAATAAATATTCATCAAATATATAAATATTAAAATATTTTCGGTAAAATTATTTAACAATTCGTTCATCACTTAAATTTTATATTTTTATTAAAAATTCCTATGTATGAATGTATGAAGAGAAAGAAAATAATAATAATAATAAAAAAAATGGATGAATCAGAGAACGTTATTATACGATTTTAATCTAACTTTATGAAACTAATCCCGAACTAAATACGCTTCCGTAGGTACTCGAACTGAATGGATAGATAGCTACAGTGTAGCCCAGAGACAAGTTGGCACTTTGCAACATCCATTGTGACGTATAATTTCCTTGAGACGAGCTCGCCTTAATATCAATCAAACTTTTCAATCTTTTGCACGAACTTTACTGCACAGCGTTTTCCAACCGACTCCAAAATGGAGCTTCTCAATTTGCTTGCACTTTTTTATGTTTTTTAACTCCGTCAGTTATAAAGAGCGTAGTAGAAGGAAAAATAGAGGGCAAAAGAGGAAGAAGAAGACCGAGGAATAACTATATAGGACAGATAAAAGAAACACTAGGTGTCATGTCGTATAGGGAGGTCAAGGATATGGCCTGGGATAGAACTGGCTGGAAGAAGATGCATGAATTAGTTGCACCGACAAGAGGAAACACTTAAATGAAATGAGAGAGAACTCCGTCAGTTATGAAGCGATTTGGAAAATTCTTTTTTTATCTGAAAAAATATATTTACAGTTTGTTTTCACAGAAATTTTATAAATATCGATTCAGTGGTTTGGTTTTTAAATTAAAATTACAATTGTTTTTTTTTTATAGGACTGAATTTTTAATTATTTATTCATACAATTTTAATGCAAAATCAATCTCAATATTTTTTTTACTAATACTATAAATATGAATGTAAGTTTATTATCTCTTAGTGGCTTAACAGCTTGATCGATTACTATAAAATTTAGTATGTATTATAAAGAATGGATAAGTATATAGGCTTTTTATTCCGGTCATGCAGACAAAGTCGTGACAAATTCTTGTTTCATTTCTCATTATTATTCTTTATGTTAGAAAAAGCAAAGTTAAATTAACTAAAAATTTAATTTTGCATATCAATTTCATATCTTGAACAAAAGATTTTTTTATACCATGCAAATGACAAGCAAGCATACGGCTCACTTGATAGTAAACGGTCAGTGTTGCCTATGGAGGCCTGCAAGACTATAGGTGTCACGTACACGTTTTCACATCACTTTTTGAATAACCCCATACTGTAGTCTTTAGGGAAAACTTCGACAGGTTTTGTATTTTAATTGGAATATAAATAGATAAATTTGCATCAAGACTATACACATGAAATTGTGAAAAAAGGAACTAAATAAAAAATATATTAAATTATTTTATGTAATACAATATTGTAAACAGCTAATTTTCAGTTACTGCCAGAAAGACTTTCTTAAAAGCACGTGCAATGATAGCCCAGTGTCCAACACATTTTTATACGTACATCATGATCATCATCATTGCCTTGCCTTTCCCCATTCATTTGGAGTCGGCGCAGTATGTTCTCTCCTTCGTAAATATTTTTTTACGTACATAAAACTTCTAATTGAACTGTCAAACCTTAAAATCATTTCACTAAATTTCTATTGTAGGTAGTATATTCATTTATTTTAACATCCATTGTATTAGTAGGTAGGTATTATATTTATTTATAGTATATATATATTTATGTATTCTAAATATTAATAGTTGTAGCACTTCAGCTGCCCGCTAACAACATGCTTTCTAACTGCATTGGGTTGACTGGAAGATATATCTGACAGAGATAAGTCCACATTTGCACACAATATTTATAAATGCCTTAACAATGTAATTTACAAGTGCAATAAAGAATATATATAACATCATATATATAATAACGCATATTGTATTAGTTATATTCTCCTATGCACTTA